CCTCTATTTAATGGATGTTGTCATTCATATAAACCTACCTTTTTAATAAGTCTATCTATTAAAAATACTGCATCAAAATCTGTTGTGTAGTTTTAAAGTTTTAAGCATACATAGGGATATATGGACAGAGAAAACGACTTCGAATCGTGATATCTAAATATATAAAACTCTGATATAGTGATATATGACTGATATAGTGATCTATCAACGCACAGACCAAACCACTGGACTGGTCAGACTGAAATTTGGCATGCAGGTAGATGTTATGACGTAGGCACCCGCTAAGAAAGGAATTTGGTAAATTCTAACTCTAAGAATTTTCTCTTCTAAAAATCTGCAGGAAGTCACTACACTTTCACCCGAACGAAAATAAAAAGAAATAAAATAACAACTCTGTCTCTGTCAACAAATGTTGGAGTTGCCAATAAAATAAAAAAAAACAAGAAAATTACATACATGATTATTTACCTACATACTACTTAGTAAGTTGTAAAAAAAGCTTATGTTTATATACTCGTCAAATAACAATAGGGACTATTTTTTTTACAGCAAAAAAATGTTTACGAAATGATGATTAATAGCAGGAAGCGACAGCAAAAAAAGCAATCCAATCAAATCTCCTTCTATTCTGTATTTACATTTAAATTGAGGATCAACATATTTATTTAAGTAGGTACTTATACAGAATTATTTAGGTAGGTTTTTGCTTGTGTTAAATTGCGTAGTATTTACTTAGTATTTTTATATAGAAACTATCGTGACACGAAATACTATATACTTAAATACTAAACTAGCTACTCTCGCGTGGTTTCGCCCACTGCTCGGCTCATACAGATCCTAACGTGATGTTTTATAGCCTATAGCCTGCCCCAATAAATGGACTAACGAACATAAAAAAAATTGTTCAATTCGCACCAGTAGTTTCGGATACTAGGGCGTTCAAACAATCAAATTGATATTAGCGACTTAGTCACGTGAAAAAGCGGCTGACTGGCCATCGGCTGCGCTACGCGGCACACGAATAAGAGTCCCTTGTGTGTCTTGAAACTAGTAGAGCTTTTCTCGACTAATTGACGTAAGCAAGTCGTTATTACAACATAGTATAAAATAAAGTCGCTTTCTCTGTCCCTATCAATGCTTTTTTTGTGAGGGAAAAATTATCAAATGACTTCTCCCGTCCACGGTGGGGTAGGAGGGAGTGTCAGACTCTTACTGACTAAAAACTCTTTCGTCACTCCTCCTGATTTAGGCCGAGGCTGCGGTGACTTTTTGCGCTTGCCCCGCAATCCCCCGCAACTACCAAACAGATTGTAATGCGATTTTTTTAATAGACAGTGTGAATTGTGATCCAAGGGACACGTTTAAAATTATGTAGAAATTGTAAAAAATAGTAACAGCTTTACACCCGTGCGAATCCTGTATGGGTCACTAGTTCTCAATAAAGTGCAGTACTAGAAACAATTTAATTACTTATATGACTCTGAATTCAATACCATTGCATAGGGCACAGCGCTCTAGCTAGGTTCACTTACATATTTAAATCGTTCATTGTATACTAATTTCAAAAACAGTTCGCCTTTAACTTCTACAGTCATACGTGTATTTCATTTGTGATCCTTTTATTATTATATAGCTACTCTCACGCGGTTTCCCCCGCTGCACGGCTCGTACAATTCGTAACGTGATGTTTTATAGCCTATAGCTTTCCTCGATAAATGGACACAAAAAGAATTGTTCAATTCGAACCAGTAGTTCCGGAGATTAGCGCCTTTAAACAAACACACTCTTCAGCTTTATAATATGATTAATTATAGATTTTGATTAGTAAATTGCGAATCGGATCAGGTGCTAGTGTTTTTTGGGGGTTAGTGAATAGTGATTTTAGGTTTTGAGGGTATCGTTGTTGTTTCCCGAAGGTTTTCTTTGAGGTGAGTGAGAGAGAGAGCAATATGCTCTGGCCGAGTCGGCCCATTGGTTCCGAAGCATGGCTCTCAAAAAACTCACTCGTTTAGCAGACTTTAGTAATAAGACCAAAGGAATAGCCATACAAATTCCTTAAATAAATTGTGTAAAGATAATCACTACATAGAATAAAACAAAGTCGCTTACTCTGTCCCTAATGCCCGGTTTCCGAAAGCCTGATCAATGTTAAAATCAACTAACTAGGTTGACTTGACAAGAGATTTGACCTCTTGTCAAGTCATCTGATTGGTTGTCGATAATTCAGTCAACCAATCAGACTTGATAAGAGATTAATTTGACTTTAACATTGATCGGCCTTTCGGAAACCGGGTGTACATCTCTATGTGTGCTGAAATCTTTAAAACTACTCAACGGATTTTAATGAGGTTATTTTAATAGATCGAGTGATTGCAGAGAAACGTTTATGTGTATAATAAAGTCCATATAGTGGAGAAATTTAATATGACCATTGCACCCGTGCAAAGTCGGGGAGGGTCGCTAGTAATTCATAAAGAAAACTTAATTGGAAAAAAATACTGTATATTCTGACGTCAAATTCATGTGAAATTAATTAATTATTTGATAACAGCTGTATGTTTATGTTTGTAGCTGCTTGTACTGAGTCTAATTAATTTAGTTTACGTTCATTCGGTTGAGTGGCCTAAGTACTTATATGAAGTTTTATTGGTTCTTATACGTTCTATGATTATTGTGTTTTTATGTACCTATGTAATGCCAGGTTTTTTTCTACATTTCTGTCGCTAATTTTATAGTCCAGTCATTATTTTTGACTGCACGGTTAGCGCGGTGGCTGGGCAACTGGCTGTCATGCAAAGTGTCGCGGATTCGATTCCCGCACGGACCGACTCTTTGTGTGATCCACAAATTGTTGTTCCAGGTCTGAGTGTGATGTGTATGTGAATTTGTATGTTTGTAAACGCACCCACGATACAGGAGCAAATCCAAGTGTGAGGTAACGCTTTTTTTTTAAACTTAAAATCTGCACTGCGTTGGTCAGTACCTATTGGGTGCCAAGTTTCAAATATGTTTACAACACTTTTAATATTTTTTTTATAGTAGTGATATATATACCTCCTAACTAAACAAACTGTCGCCTAATTAAACAATCGGACTTCGTTTGTTTTGAAATAAATTAAAATGAAGGTACTTATTGGAATTTTAATTAAGTATTCCCTCTAACGGTCCGATTCATTGTAAAATGTTTACAAAGGATGTTGTTTTAGGACGCTTACATTGACCGATAGACGGGCTAATTATTTTGTTCTAATTAATACTTGAAAATTATATTATTCAGACTTGGTTTTTTATGTACTTAATTTATACTTTAGTGACGTCATTAGTAATTTTCAGGAATATATTTTGAATATGTAAGTAGGCTTCCATTTCATCATGAGATTTAAGATTCTGTCTGGAACCACTGAAACCTGGTGACAGTGTGACGTTTTCTTAGTTATATCACCAATGATAGACGATGCAGGAAAATAATGTAAAAAATCTGGATTATAAGAAAAAACTGAACTTAATTTGGGAGAACCATGCTTCGGCATTAATGGGCTGACTCGACAGGAGTGATACCACGACCTCACAGAATAACGGCGTGAAACCAGACACATCGTTGCGTTTCGCACTGTGAGTGAGGTTACTGGAGGCCGAATAGTTCTCCCAAAAGCTCTACACGCTTGCAACTCCTCTACTGTTGAGGATGTCTATAGGCGGCCATGGTTGCTTTTTATGTATAGGCAAACGAGCAGACGGATTACCTGATGGTAAGCAATCAGCGCCGCCCATGGACACCCGCAACGAAGGAGTTACGAGTGAGGGAGAGGATTAGGGATTTGGAGATTTAGGGATTGAGGAGGAATTGGGGGAGGGGAAGGATTGGCCATTGCTTACCATCAAATAATCCGTAGAACAGTTTGCCAACGCCACTTGAATAAAAACTTATAAATACACCGATAGATTCTTTATAAACAGACTATTATAATTATAAGTTAAGTTGACCCATGTAAGAATGATATGTTTTATAAATAACTAACAGCTCCATGAATACATAACAATAACATTTATCCTATTTTACATAACCGTGTCGTTAGTTATTCTATTGTGTTCGCGATTGTGATTAACGGGGTCTCGAGTTCGATAGCCGGGTTGAGAACGGTATTATTAGGTCTTTCGTATTCTAGAATGGTGCCTGTATCGAATATTTTGGTCTTCTTATTAAAGGCCAAAGGATTGGAACTGTTAAGGGAAGGAAATAAATTTGATTTGATTTGAAGTGATAAGCCAAAATTTGACAGCCCTAGTTGCAATAGCGTTTTTAATTTTTTTCAATGAGTTTATGGCATTAGTTTTTGGAGCCAGTGATAAGGCTGAAAATGCTACATTGTTTTTCGATCACATGGGCAAAGCCACGAGTGGACAACTAGTGTAAAGATACAATTAATAGTCACTATCATCATCAGCTTATTATATCATACAGCCCACTAATGAGTACCTAAAGGTTTCTTTTAATTTAGACAAGGTTTGAGCATTATTCAGCACACTTGCTACAGAAGTATTGGAGATTTTAATCATCGTATATATATATAATTATTTTTTTAAGTTCAGGTTGCATGACGATGTTTTCCTTCAGCGTATGTTAGTGGTTTATATAAATAGACAATTAGTAAATATAACTCTGATAAAGTCACATTGATACATGCCAGGTTTCGAACCCGCACTCTATTGCATGAGACACGGACGCGATACCAGGGCCACTACGACCACATAGGTACTTAGTTAGTTCTTGGAATTCAACCCGAAACTCTTGCGCAGCATTTATGCTAGTAATCAAAATTATGATCTATGGAGCGGATAAAGAAGCACTCATATTTACAGTATTTACGTTTACTTACATATATGTAGTGTAGACGATAATTAATTGTAAATTAAATATACCTATTTATTAGAATTTAAAGTTAGACTAAAACCTAGTATTCATTTAAAAATGTCTTTTAAATAATCAATCACTCAAACACTTACTGTTGTTATTTCTTGTCTATTAAGTTAAAAAACTTTTCTACTAGGTATACAGATTAAAAATTAAACCTAAATTGAAGCGTACATAACTCCCCGTAAATTCCACTTCAGTACTGAACTCAAGTTAGGTTACTCACCGCGGCCGGTTAACTGCCACATAACAAACAGCTGATAACTTAAAACTTATCAATGAAAAATTAAAACACTAATTAATATAAAATCAACATACACCTACCTTATTATTATAAATTTTATTTGTTACACAAACACTTTTTAAATATCGGAATATTTTTCTGTCACTTGTTTTTTTTTAAACACATGTGGTCGTGACGGAGGCGCCGCGTATACTGCCGCGCGGATTTTGCCGGGCCGCCATGCTGTGGGCCAATAAAGACCACATGTTTTATAGTCTGTGGTACTTATATATATTATGATTGAAACCAATGATGTATAAATCTATAGATACGTTGTCCGCGCTCTAAAATGACAACATGAAATGAAGGCAATTGACAACATCGCGCTTAGTTACGCACCAACCTGCCGCGCGACGCTACGTTTGTTTTTAATTTATATCGTGTGTGTAAACCTAAGCGAAACATAAGTAAAGCATGCCGTCGTGTGTGTTCAGACGATGTACAAATTATACTCCAAAAGTTAAAGACAAAAATGTGTCATTTCATGCGTAAGTTCACCAAACAAACTATTTTTATTTTATTTTTTTCGACGCCGGCGCCCGCCATCTTATGGCGGCCATCTTATAAAAATGTAGTTTTACTATTACTTATCCTGTGATGTAACTGAAGATGTATATTTATCTCCCTCTAGCAAAGGCATTCCACTATACGATGTCATATTTTCTTTCCCTTTCTTTACTAGTAGAGGTAGTTATCTAGTATTTTCGCCGTTTTTAAGCGCCGCGATGTTGGTTAATGACGTGTCTATATATAATACGTCATTGATTGAAACTGTAAGTTTCTAGTTTAACCCGCTAACAGTTTTAGCGATTTCTTCCTGTAAGATAACTTAGACAAAAGTAGTTTAGTAAAGTTAAATTATATGTAAGTATAAGCGAAGGAATAATTGTGTTCTTTATTCTTTTTTGTTTTGTAATGTGGAAGGTTGGAAAACGAGCAGACGTATTAAGTTAAGTGTAAGTAATTGGCGCAATGGACACCCGCAATACCAGTGGAGCTACGATTGCGTTGGCGACCTTTTGGGGATTAATGATTCGGAGATTTGGGGATTGGAGATCTGAAAGGATTAAACCTCCAGTAGCCTCACTCATACGACAAAAAAAAAACACAACACTGCGATGGTTTCACGCCAGTTTGTGGCCATGGTATCACTCCGGTGGAGCCGTCCTTTCCTGCTGAAACAAAATGGCTCTGCCACACTTTTTCACTATTTTTCTCTGCTTTTGATAACTTTGGCATGGGATAAAGTTTATATACGTAATCATATGTAAAGTCTTCCTGAAATCAGGCTTCAGAAACTTTCACATTAAATTTTCTAAATAGTAATTTACCACCTGACGGTATCTTTAGCGCAGAGCGGCCACTCACAAGATTGCCGACCGCTAACCTGAAACAGGAACCTATCTGGAAGTCAATGGGGGAGGCCTATGTTCAGCAGTGGACGTCCTGTGGCTGATATGATGATGATGATGATGATGATGATGATGATGATGATGAACCTAAAACAGGGTGCCAGAAGGCGCTAAATACGAATTGCTTTCAACCAACCATTTTAAAAGACGCTGGAGTGATCTCCCTACATGGACTTTTTGTGACTGATGTAATGATTATGGAGATTAATAAATCCAGAAAAGCACTAGCTCATAGATGTCTTCGATTGAATTACGTGACTGTGACTAACGTAGACAGACTATAGCCTTGTTTATGTAATAAAAGGTCAACGGAATCATAGTGCGATTTAATATGGAATACAAAGTTGTACGTTAGCTCGATAGATGGCGTTGGGATCGAGATAGATCGCGCTATGGTTTCGTTACCGGGGATAATATAGGTGTCGAATGATTTATTTGTTTTGGTGAGCAGCAAGCATTGTACATTACTTTATTATACGCGCTTAATAAGTAAGTCAGTGTATTTATTATCCACCCTCTCCCGAGTCGACCTTCGTTCATGGTCCTTCGAGCCGGATTGGCCGGGAGTGTTGTGACGGGTTCCGGAGGTGGTAGATTCTACCACCCTACGCTTCGATACTGGGCAGTGGATCGCTGTCCAGAGCAGCCCTTCAGTGGGTACCAGGTGAGAGGTCCCAGGAGCTGAAGGTGGAAGACCGGTTGGCGCAGGGAGCATCCAGTGGAGCGTGGTGCAGCAATACTGGAGGCAGCAGCAGCCGGAGGGCGAAGCAAGGGAGCAGAGCAGGTGTCGTCCGCGGTCACAGAGGGCGCCACTGGTATGGCATGTTGACGTCTAAGTGTCAGTGAGTGTTTGGTGAAAAAATCGTGAGTACTTTCAATGTAATTCTGGAAGAATCTAATAAAGGCAGGGCATTAGATTAGACTTGTGATAATTTTAAGAAAAAAGTTGTTTGGACGGGGAGTCTATGTCCAAATTCGTATAGAAATTGAACTTAAAAAGACTTGTAAAAATTTCAATGCAAATTGAGTTTTGTGTTCGGAAAAAGTGCGAGAAGATACAATTTAATGGACTTTAAGGTTAGGATAATATTATATTCTTCCACTTTTTATTTGTGCTGTAGTTTGTAATTTTTGTTGTGTCTACATAATATTGTGTTTACAAAATGGATTCGTTAATGGATATCCAAGATGATGTTAAAAGCAAAATTGATAAGGCTATTATTAATTTTAAAAAATGCCCGAAAGATCGACTCACTCTATCGTATATTGAAACACGTTTAGAAAATTTAGAACAACAATGGCAACTTTTTCATAATACACATGTTAAAATAATAAGTGAAGTTAAAAAGTCAGATTTATATAGCTCCAAATATCATAAAGATTGTGTTTATGACGAGGTAGAGGAATTATATGTGCAATTTAAAAGTGCTCTGAAGGAGCTTATTAGATTGAATAAATGTGTACCTAGTAATGAAAATGATAGTGGACCGGGCCTTAGTAGTAGTTCTAAAGGAGAAAATAATTTTCGTTTGCCGGAGATTAAAATACCAATGTTTTCTGGAAAATATCAGGAGTGGCTAACCTTTAGGGACTTGTTTTTGGGATTAATTCATAATAATAATAAATTGAATGATGCACAGAAATTATATTACTTGAAGGGATATTTAACCGGAGATGCTGAACACCTATTAAGAAATGTACAGGTGACAGCAGATAATTATAGTACAAGTTGGACAAAATTAGAATCCATGTACAATAATAAGAGATTTTTGGCAAACGGGATAGTTAAATCTTTATTTAATCAAAAGGCTATGATAGGAGAGTCCGCTACGGATATTAAAAAGCTCCTGAATACAACTAGTGATTGTTTAGAATCATTTAAAAATTTAGATATAGATCTTGGCTCAATTTTGATTATACACATTATAACTGAGAAGCTTGATAAAGTAACTAGAAGGGCATGGGAGTTGAAGGTATCATCGGATTATAAGGAAAAACTTCCTACTTTCGATGACTTAAAAGAATTTTTGGTTAACCGATTTAGGGCTTTAGAGAATCTAGAAACGAAAGTAGAGAGGGTCCCAAAGACTACACGGGCATTACATGTAGTTAAAGATAAAGGGGTATCTTGTGCCTTTTGTGCAGGTGAGCACAAAATAAGTTCCTGTCCAAAATTTATAAATGAAAGTACCGAAACTCGGAGGAACTTTGTTCTAAAGAACAAGTTATGTTTCATCTGCCTGCTCAGCAACCACTCTGTTAGGTTTTGTAAAAACACTCTCAAGTGCCAGGTGTGCAAACGCCGCCACCACACATTGTTACACTCACAAGGTGTTTTTGGGTCGGAAGTTGGTGAGGGTAGTAGTGCTGCTCGCGCGGAATCCTCATCGGTAACTTATGAGGGAAATAGGGACGTTAATCAAGCGGAAGGATCAAAACCCCATGTAGTCTCATGTCTTGCGACAGGAAGCAGGAAAACTGTATTATTAGCCACAGCTTTAGTTAAAGCTGAGTCGAGGAATGGGACTTATCATACGGTTAGGGCATTATTGGACCAGGGATCACAGGGTTCCTTTGTTACGGAAGCTCTGGTTCAGTATTTGGGTTTGAAGAAAAAACCTTCAAAAAACAAGGTAGTAGGAGTAGGAGATAAGGGTACTACGTCGACGGCCGTAGTAGTAATTAATCTTCATTCGAGAGTAAATCCATCTTTTCAAATAAAAGTCAATGCCTATGTGCTGAAGTCAGTAACATCACTTCTCCCATCTGCTAAAGTAGCTAGGTTAGAATGGGTGGATTTGAACGATAACGATTTGGCTGATCCGGAGTACTTTATACCTAATAGAATCGATGTTCTATTGGGCGCTGAAGTATACAGCCAAGTCATTCAGCATGGTGTTAAAAAGAATGCGAACGGCACTCTATTAGCGCAAGAAACCACTTTAGGATGGGTGTTGTCGGGTGCGTTCGAAATTAAACAAGGTGTAGATTCTCACTCAAACATTACCGTGATGCATACCAGTATCCAGGATGATGAATTGTTGAGAAAATTCTGGGAATTAGAGGAACCACCTGGAACAAAAGGAATGCTCACGGAAGAAGAAACTAAATGTGAGGAATTATTTAAATCAACGACGACAAGGAATAAGGACGGCAGATATATAGTGAGGTTGCCGTTACGGGATACAAACCTGGTCGATAGGGGCGGTGATTCCAAAGGGATAGCTGAAAAAAGACTAAAAGGGTTAGAAGCAAGATTAGCAAAAAAATATAAATTAAAGGTCGAGTACGGTAATGTGATACAAGAATATTTAAATCTCAATCACATGGTAGAAGTATCGGATAAAGATAATATAAAAGGGGTTTACTTACCTCATCACGCTGTCATCCGTGAGGATAAGGAAACAACAAAGGTGCGTGTTGTATTTGATGCTTCCTGTAAATACAGCAACGGGCGGTCACTTAATGATGATCTAATGTTTGGTCCATCTTTGCAAGATGATCTTCGTCATATCATTATGCGCTGGAGGGTACATCGAATTTGTATAGTAGCTGATATAGTAAAAATGTACCGACAAGTGTTAGTTAATAGGCAAGATACTCCATT